TGACTGCTTTTTTTTTTTTTTCACATTCTGTTCATTTACATTCTGTTCGTTTACATTCATTGTCCATATAACGGACAAACACTGCATAAGGTTACGGAAGTATTGACATATGCTACTGAATTGCATCACAGCAGCGTGACACCAATAGCTGAGAGTGCTGAGCTAGGTGCCTGCTGCCTACCACTCAGGCTTATCTGAAATACAGTCATCTTTATACCCATCAGTTGTTTCCTTCCTTTCATAAAATGGAAATCGATAAGAATATCCAAAGCCAACTTCATTCATAAGTGAACCTTAATAAACCCTAAGCTAAGATCTATCGACTCTATAACTATGAAATAAAATACACCTTGACTTGCAAATCAAGACACTGCATTCTACAATATTAGGTGAATTTCCTTATTTAGAAATATCTAACCTATTTAGAATTAAAATTACTCTTATTTACTATCTTATTTACTATCTTAATAAGAAATTTTATAAATCTTAGAACCAGCATTGGTTGCTAATTATTGAAAACATAACTTAAAGGCCTTTGAATAAAAAAAAATAATCACACAGCTGGGCTAAATTTGCCAGTTCTAGGTTCTCTCTACAAAATTTGTAACTGTGCATTGGTCTGACTAACCAGCACAATAAAGGAGAAAATTGGTAATAGAATAATTATCCTGTAATAGTTAAATATGAAATCAGATAGTTTATCTTTGATATCAAATAGTATTTACTTTCAAGGGTTTTTTTAAACATTCAATAGATACTTCTGTGTTTGTTCTTATTTGTTTGTTTGTTTCTTTTTTTTTAATAAACACAACAGGAGTTTTGTAGAGTTACCAAGAAGTAAGTTGCACATTGGTCTTTCCCCGAGAAAAGCTTTGTATAGCAGGTCCTAAGACCTACTCTAAAATTTTAACTAAAATACTACAACATCATGCCAAAAGTTTGTTCCCTATAACATAGGTTATTTTTGCAGTTACGATTAAAAAAAAAAAAAAAAAGATACATACTGCAGTCAAATCCTGAGAAAATTTCTGAGTTTAAAGTGCTACCAGAAGAATTCTTCCATGTATTAGGTTTTTTGCAGTGCTGAGAGTATACACTGAGGTTGATTTTCCTTCTTTTCTTTCTTTGATTACTTAGTTGCTGTTACCGATACAGTATAATACATATTAGATTAATATTTTAAACAGTAAATATTTTTTAGATTATTAGTTACTTTCAGATTTTGAGACATACTTCTCTATTTTTCTCCTCACAGAGTATCACATATCAAGAATTTGGGGAGTTTGAATTTCATTCAGTCCTAACCTTAATCAAGACATTTGTTTTTCTTCGAAATATCCCACTGCCCAGGGATATGGAAATGCACCCAATACAACCTAAGTCTAACTATAATGATTTACATTCCTCCTTCTTGCTCACTTTGAACAAAAAACGATGACTGAGGAATTTGATAAGTGTTTAGGGATTTAAAGCTCTACAGAAATATAAAATCCTCTTTCTATGTCCCAAATATTCCCATATGTTGTTGAGTGTTTTGAACATACATAAGCATCCTCTTAAAGATCATTGGAAAACTCTTTTTTTTCTCTGCTAATGTTTTCATACAAGTTCTGAAACCAATCTACATGAAATCCTTTATTTTGAAAACTTGAGAGAGTGCTAGAAATCCTTGCTTGTGGCAACCTGCAATCCTGAACCAGGGCAACATCCTCAGAAAATCTAGTTTCTTTTTATGGTTTTGCTTTTTTAATAAAACAAAACCAAAATGAAATCCACAAAAAAAGAGTAACATTAAAAGTAACTACAAACAATGCACTTGTAAAAGAAAAACACTTAACCTGTTCACGACAAGGCTAAATCTGAACTACAGCCAGCTGACATGCTTTAGGCTCTTGTATCATTGGTTGCATTTCTCAGACAAAACCCTGTCACTGATAGTTTTCAAAGTCAAACTGTATTTTGGAGTTATGCCCAACAGACCAAATTTCTTTCTCTTTCACTTATGCACTCTTGAAAACAACTTTAAACCTATCTAGAGACATTTTTGACATATTGACATTTTTCACTCTGGCATTACTTTAAGCATTGTTTCACTGCTTCAGATGTTACTTTGTTAGACAAGGTTAGCCTACAAGAGTACTCAGTCACTTCAGGATCTGTGATAATGGAAAAGGGAAAAAAAAATTCTTTCTTCTAAAGATATAACAACAAAAAGATCTCTCTGGGAAAAAAAAAAAAAAATCAAAGGTTTTCACAAAAATATTTTTTCATGAGTTTTAGTTTCTAAACCACCTACAGTCCAAGAATGATCCATCTGAGAAGAAGATACATCCTTCCACTTCCTGTGTCTTTTATCTTGGTCATGCTTTGTCGGTACTTTTATAGATCTAACAATGGAACCTTTCCATATCATTCAAATATATTGTATGTATTTTAAGGAAAGGCTACAACACAGATGCCTTTTCAGCCTTTGTCCCTACTCACCAGCAGGTTACCTGATTTCGGTTCTCTGCGGGTTTATCTGGATGCCCAGCATTACAGACCAAGTTGTCCTACTACTGGAACAAAATTAGTCACAGTACATAAAGTTAAGAATCTGTGAAAGTAGAGATCAATGCCTAGATCTTCCTCCCTCCACAATTTTCAATAAGGCTGTAACACTAGACAAGCACAGTCAGTAATAACTCTGAGATTTTCTTTACAAAAGTTCTCTTGTTAGGAAACATAAATTGATCTGTATATTAAAATTTCTTTGATTACAGTGATTGCAAAATATTTGTGTTCTGAAGAATTGTAAACTAAGAGCAAAAATAAACAATGCTGTAGCTGAGGCACAGAACTGCTCTGATCCAGGAAAGAAATCTCGTATGATCTTATCAGCTCCAACCAGCTATCAGTATCTACTGACAAAGTAAATGAAAGTGGAACAGTGTCTCAAAAGTGTATTTATGTAGGCCATAATCTTTTTTTTCCTTAAGAACTAGACTGGAACATCTAGTTACAAACCCACCTCTATTTAATTGTTTAATGAGTCAACCCTAGGCCCATTAGAATATGGGAAATACATACAGAATCTTAGTATTCCTCTACAGATGTATAGAAAATCACTAAATAAATGATGACAGTAATTTAAAAGTGTTCTTACTAAAAATAATAATAATATGGTGAGATACAGACAGTGCAGTGCCTGGGTATTTCCACATGTATATTTTTTGTGGGTGTTTATCAGAAAATAAGCCTTCATATGAGCACAGATAACCATGCAGACATATACAAACATACATCCACATAGATTTACTCTTTTTTATCTTCCCAAGTTTCAGTTTCTGAGAGGCATGCCAAAGAACATTTAAACACTACAACAGTATTGTGAACAACTATGATCAATGTTATCAAATCTTCCAGGGTAACATTTGGCTAGAAATTTTTTGAGGTAAGAAAAAAAAAATCTTCAGACTCAATGGATGTCAACTGCACAACCTGCAGGCCCAATCATGACTTTTGACAGCAGTAATGTAGAACTTCAGGTAACTAGGAAACACTTGAAAGAATTAAAAAAATTGCCAAATAAAGATTTCTGCACATGTTCAAAAGCTCTGAGTTACACTCTATGCAATAGTTTTGGCGTCACTGATGCTGCATCAGGCATTAATCAGCAAAATTTCTGGCTCATTATCTTCAGTTAATTTTGGTGAGTCCTGCTCATTAAGCAGGGTTCATTCCCCAATTGTCTATGTTGAAATTGAGCATTTAAAATAAAAGTTAATCTCATACTGAGGCATCACTGCCCACTTGCTCACCAGATAAAAATGTAATGTTATGAGGAGGAAAACTTGCATTTGGGGCCAATGACGGCAAGAGAAGCAGCAAAAAAGAAAGTCTAGAAAAAAATTATTTTTATCTTAAAATCTATGACATATTTTGCTAGTTTTCCACCCATCTTTTCACACTTCTAAAACTACACAGTTCTTACTAGATATCTTTTTGGCTGACAGTGAGTTAAGTGAAAAAGTTACCATCCACGACCTGCCCCAGTTGCTCATTAACATCTTTTTTCTCCGCATGTTGCTGCCTCCTCAGATCTGTGAGCTTAACTGCATGCATAGCCAGTCCTGGTGCCAGCCAAAACATTTAGTACCAGATTAAACTTTGTTTTTAAATGCAGGTTATTTGACAGAGACAAGTTAAGGAGAGGCTACAGATGCAAGCAATTCTACTGTGAGACAAGATATAATAATTTCTGGCAGGATGCGGTGAAGAGCAGCTGAGGTAGGCTCAGAGCTGCAATCTTTTCACCAAGCTCAGTAGCAACAAAGAGAACATTTCAGACCACGGCCTTAAAGTTTTGGAGGACAGATGAGAGGAAGAAGTGACAGAATACCACAGGAACAGCAGTAAACTCTATTAGAGATTGACTATGGCTTTAAGAAAAAACTGTTTTATGGAACTGAAAAAAAGAATAAAACTCCTCAGTTTTCCAGGCTATCTTATGTTTATGGAATAGCTAAAAACAATAAAGACATGAAACCAGGAGACTTCTCACAGGGCAGGTGGTGGCATTTAATAAAACTATATACTTACATGATAAAACTTATTGCAGGACCACCACATCCATAGAAGGAAGTAGCTGATGTGAAGTGCTTACTGAACCTGACAACATTTAAAATTTACTAAGCAACCGAGAGAAGGTGCTGTGAGTAAGGTCCCTTAAGGAGACAGTCTATATACCTTGCAGCTTGCTGATTCTTCCCCTTTCTCAGTCATTTTACAGCCACAACTGCTGGCTCCAAAGCTTATGAGTTGGGTACATCTAAAGCCTGTCTCAAAGAGCCCATTTGTTGTCAAGTCTCACGGACCCTGTGGTAAAAATCAGGCAGTGGTTCAGTCCCTTTAGATATGTATCTTGCCAAGACTGATAATTAAATACATGTAAATGTTGCCTGATACACAAGCTAAAAATTGCTTTGTTGTAGTGAGTAAGGAAACAGTGAATTCACCACCTTCTTGGGCTCCGGACCAGTGCTCTAGCCAGAAGGCTATTCTTCTCTTCTCTGCTTACATCACATAAAATTCATTCTTTGCTCATTTCACAACACCTAGAAATTTAAAAAAAAAAAAAAAAAATCCTACTTATAGCATGGGAAGTATTATTTTAATTTATTCCCTTTTCAATGACCAGATTAGGAGGTGTTTGTAGGCCTGGTTCTGTACAGGAGATCATAAATTTCAGATGGAAATTTCAAAGGCACTTGCAAAAGAATGATACTGCGATGTTAAGTCTGCATCTTTAACCCTTCAAATTATAAAAAAGACAGGTAGTCACCAATAAACACCAGAGATATGCCGTGTTTTCCTTCTCCATTCTCAGTAATCTGTAATAAATTCAAAAAGATGACACACTTCTTCCATGGAAAAGAAACAAAAGGTAAGAGTTAAGTAGCTACTTTCATCATTTCTGTCTGGATAGAACACACTCTAATTTGATTGCTATGCTGGGAAGAAGAAAAAAAAAATTAAATTAACCTTTCTCATTCAAAAAAGTTGAAAAAAATTAGAGGTTTCTAGGAGACACTGCAATGGCAAAAATGATAGTGTTCTTACTGTTCTAAGAAATAGAAACATTTTATTATTTTGAAGGAGCTGGCCAAAGCTGGCAGTTGAACTCAATTACAATTCCAGCAGGTGCCAGCTGATACATTCAATAGTGTTTGAGACAAGATGAAATACAGTAGTCCATGCAAATCATAACAGAAAGTAATCTCAGTAAGCTGATACTGAGCCATTCCTTGCCTAAGAATAGGTCTCACATTCCAGATAAAGAAAATTTAAAACATTAAAACTAAAGGATGAAATCAACCTAGCAAAATAATGTAGAAACACATTCCCACAGAACAGACAAACCCAACAGACAAACATATAACATGGTATTATTCTTGAAAAAAAATTTCACAAATAATGAAAAAGATGGTATCTTGGTTGATGAAATGTCCACATTGTTTTCTGTGTCCATCTGCAAGAGACCTATTTTCTCCACATTATTTAGCATATGCTGGGGGGAGATAATTATAAGGATGTTTGAGATTTCTCCAAAGGTTGCACCATGCATTACACGTGTAGCATTTACTTAGGATTATCAAATGCAGCTGCACTGGAAATTAGGAAAATATTAAACATACACAGAAATGAAGCAGTAGACTCAGACCTTCAGGACAGTTGGTGCTTCCTTTTGCTTAATGCCAGCTAGGCCCCAACCCACTGAGCAAAACACTACAAATTTGTATGTTCTGCCAGGTCACACTGTAAATTAACACTCTTAGTTCTAGTGACATGCCACTTGAGGGGAAAAAAAATAATTCTAAACTCTGATAAATCAGAAGAAGGACTTTAAATTATGCCCTACTAAATAAGTGGGTTATCTTAGAAATTAAAATAATATTTTAAACTCACAAAGAAGCTTTTTTTTGTCCATCTGAGCCATTTGGCTTCATGACTCTTCAACTTCTTTTCTTCAGATACTATTCCAGTGCCAAATAAATTGTTGGTCCTCCTGGTAACCAGACTCTATTTTCTGTATCTTACTCAAACATGTCATAAACATTTTGTTTCACCTGCGCAGGTTCATCTTCTCCTTTGGCCTTAAAGACATCAAACTCTCTAAATCAATTCTGTTCCTGCCATTATGACAAGCAAGCCCTACTTATCCTTCTTGTGGCTCCAAGTCTTGAATTTTTCCATTCACTAATACTCTTACCTCTCCACAAATACTCTTAACTCTCTACAGAAATATATATTTCTGGAAGAAGGGGACTTGGCTTCATAATCAACACAAGTAAAAAAGTATTCCCAAAAATGAGTCTATCTAATTCTCTAATCTGGTTTCTTCAGTTACTGAAGACTGGAGTGGACATTCTTCCAAGGTGACTAGAAATGAGCACTTAATAAATGCAATATTTTCCCACATCAAGACTATTAAAGAAGTACATTGCTAAAGACTTAGAATTAGATTTGATCCCTGTGGAACTGCCACACAACTCCACAGAATTCAGCACATTGTTATTCTTTAAAAATAGCAAATAATAAGTAAACATCTACTACAATTAGGACTGCAGACTGGACAATAAAAGCAAAAATGTAGGTTGAAAGGAACTGTTGGAGATCATCTAGTCTAGACTCCTCCTCAAGGCAGGGCTAACTTCCAAGTTAGGTTGGGTTGCTTTAGGGCGTATCCAGACGAGTTTTAGAAACCGTTAGGGATGGAGGTCCCTCTCTAAGCAAACTGTTCCAATGCTTAACCTTGCTCCCTGTGAAAAGTTGCCTCCTTACATCCAATGGGAGTTTCCTTCATTGCCTCTTGTGGCCACTGTCCCCTGCACTGTTGCTGTGCACCTCCCAGGAGAGCTTGGCTCTGCTGCCCCATTATTCCTGCAAGCAGCACCCTGTGATGCCTTGTCTCTCATCTCCTCGCAAAACAGATCCTCCAGTACCTCAGTGGCCTCCCACTCAACACTTTGCATTTTCTTGAAATCCTTCTTGTTTTGGAACACTGCAACCTGGGCACAGCTGTCCTTTTGCAATGGAAGAGGAAAATCCCCTGCCCTGACCCTCCAGCTGTGCCCAGCCATCAGGAAGCCTTCCTCACTGCAAGGGCACATGGCTGCTTTACCTGTAATTCACTGCCCACCAGATCCTCATGACCTTTTCTGTGGAACAGTTGGCAGCTGGGCCATAGTGTTGTGCTGGGTAATGCCAAACCATGTGCAGGACTTCAGCTGAGCTGTCTGTGTGAATGGTATTTATATAGAGTTTTAAGACAAGAGTCCTGTTCTAAGAAACTTAAGCCTAAAGTAGGTGAGACACAATGAAAAATAACTGTTCAAGAAAGGCAAGCCATTCAAAAAGAGGCGAGTTAAAAGTTTTGAGCAGGATTCAGAGGGAGCATAAAGACAAATGCAAATGCAGGAGCTTCAGTTCAAGGTGTGGGAGACAGATAATTGAGAGACTCAAATCCAGGAATGGGTGATAGGGATAAATAAAGCAATAGTATTAGAGGGTTACTTTGCTGTAAGGCATAAGAATAGAAGAATGATTGAAAGCAAAATAAGATTATGTACAACCTTAGGCATGCAGCTCACCTCTTCATTCATTTATTTATTTTTTTCGCTTCTGAGATTCCAATTAGGCAACATCAAAGATACCACAAGCCACTTTAGGTATAAAATGGTCTTCAGAAGGAAAAGTAGTACTGCAGCCTGTCAGAGCTACCTGACGAAGAAGAGTTCAATAATCCTCTACTGCACTTGAGCAGTGAGGAGTGAGAAGTATAACCTTAAAATATAAGTAATGGAAAGAAATAGGTATGTGCCTGAAAGGAAATCTCAAATTCATCATGCTAAGCTTTCAAAGACAAACTTTAAACAAAATGGAGGTAGCTGAAAATACCTATTCATTTTGCTTGTGAGAAAAACGAATCTCTCGGGCCTTTAGGCAGTAGAGAATTATGTGGTCTTTCGAACTGAGAAAGTGCAAACTGTAAAGGATCAGACTGAATAAATGTTAAGATGCCAGTCTTACAGGGCCTTTGGGAATCTATTCAATAACAATATTTTTGAGATGTCTCACACAGGAATGGTGAATTTGTTATAGTTATTTACACCTTGCAGAATAAGCTAATAAAAAAGAAAGGATGTGTTTATACATTAAAGAACAAAGACAAAGGAAATATCTGCATGAGAATGAATAACAGGTATAAACAGACCAGTCATTTTAAGGTAAGCTGAAAAGGAAAAAAAACCCAAAACACCACAACCCCCCCCTCAAATAACTGATAACTTTCAACTGAGCCATACTATAAAAAAGATTAATATTTTCCACTTAGCATTTTTCAAGTCTTGAAAAAGTAGTCTGGTTAGTAAGGCTCTTTCCCTCAATTTATGCAAAGACTTGTAGAATTCATTTAGTCCTCATAGCAAGAAGAAACATCCTTTTCATAAAAAAGGCAAAGGCAAGCAATTGAGTGGAGGAACAGTTTCCTAAAGAACAGCACTCCTGTTACAGCTATTGCAGATGAGACAAGGGTGGTGGTATCCAACATCCAAAAATGAGATATATATGTCTGAAGAAGCTTTCTTGAGTAAGTCCCAGTATCGACCCTGATGCAAAGACCTGCTTCCTGAATACAAGTTTTCTGTGTGTTTTATTCAGGCTACAATAATAACAGTAGCTGTAGAGAAGCCCCTTGCTCCTTATGATGGGAAGGTTAATACCAACAGAAACCATCTCCATTACTTTTTTTTTTTTTTCTCTGCTGTTGACCAGGAGTGCCAATAAAAAGTTGAAGCCCTTGGCTGTGGATCTCAAGGTTGGGATCCAAGTCAGTATGCAAATATATTTTTCTCTGGCGAGCCAAAATTAAGCAGAAGATAGGTATAATTTTCAATATTTAGTATATTGCTCATAACATCCTAAAACTAATTTATAAACACTGATTATTGGGTCTAAGCCTGTAATCCTCTTTAGGAGTAAGATACCTTCTACATATATAGCTTCTTAAGAAAAAAAAAAAAGAAATTCATTATGTGGCAACCTGTAAAACTAACTACATCTTCTTTTGAAAAGAAAAAGATAAGGAGGCATAAAGGAGCTGACTCTAATTGACACCTTTACTACAATAATCTGGAACAATACTTCAAGAGGAGCAAAAAACAGGTTTAGTCATGCCCTTTTTCTCTTGTATCATATCCAAAAAAAAAAGGTTTCAATCTCTTTCTTAAATGACATACTTTTACTTCTTTATTGAATTCTCTATTTCATTACTTCTTTCCTTTCTGCTTTTTTTTTAAATCAACTGCTAAAATTACTCAGCAGAATTGCACATCAGGTATATAACACTTGCTTTCACTGGCATGAGATATATGAGAGACAGGACCTTAAAATGCCAGTCATTATGTACATATCATTAGGCTAATATTTCCTGCAGACCAAATATGTTCACAGATGTAGCAGGGATAGGGCCAAATTGGATTTAAACTATAAAGTTCTTTGTTTCTGCCACTAATGAAAGTCCATCTTTGTTCCAAAATTTCTCTAATGTCAGGTC